GCTCTCCAATTACCGCCTAGAGATCACAAGAGGGAGGGAAAACAAATACATCCTGGTTGAACTAAATTTTCTTTGGAGTCTGATACCATCTATGATAGCTTATTCATCATCCTTAATAGATGACAGAAACACTACAAATATTAGATCTTTGTGGCAGAGTAACTTCCACAAATTCTAGGGCTTCTTTGTTCTTTGGAGATGACTTTTTAATGTGGAATAGGGAGCTTACACAGATCCCGGCTCTTAAGAAGTGTCTGGTTTTCCTTTTTTTTTTTTTTTTTCTTGATTGCTGGGCAATTGCTGTTTATTTATTAAACTGCCTGTTTGCCAGTGTGCGTTGTCTGATAATCTTTGCAGTATTTGGACTGTTAGTTAAAGCATTAACTTCTGTGGTGTAAAGAGCAGTGAGGCTCAACACAGGTGAATTTCTCTGTTTATGTGCCTATTTGATACAGGAGTTTAGATTTGGTGTGGGGGAATGTACAGTCCCCTATTTATCCTGAAGATGACTATGATAAGTATCAACTTAATTTCTGTGTCGAGAAGAAATTTGCTGAAATATTCCTAGATAATGTTTTCAGTGTAACTTCTGTCTTTCTGAGCAATGTGACCTCTAAAGCAGAGGCCTTTGCAAGTGATGAAGCATCATTGTTCTAGCCTGTGTGAACCTGTCCTGGCAGAGATACTAACTTACTTTACACGAGGGTTGTGGGGAATGTGCATTTCATGTGACTTTAGATTCACAATGGAGTGCTTTCTCTAGGGTGTTGGAATTCTGGGGTGCCATTTTTTCAGGGATGTGCTAGCTGCATTTTTTAAAGAGTATTGCTTGCCATATGGTAAAATATAATAAGAGAAATACTCTCCCTCAGCACAAATCTGAAGCTTGTTTAGAAGTGGGCAAAAGTTTGCTGTCCATTTTGGAAATAATGCGCAAGTACTGGAGGAATGGTAAAAATTCAGTCAGTCAGCTCTTACTGTATTGCTTCAGCTGGTTGTATAGCACCTTTCTGGTGCAGAAACTCTGAAGCCTGACTTTTCTGGTCTGTTAAGTGTAGACTTAAGTTGCTTAGGGTTTATAAATGCAAAAGCATATATCTGGCATTCTTGGGCATGTACAGTAAGATCACCATGAGGTTATGGGCTGTGCCTTAGAGCAAAAGTTTAAGAGTAGCTCTGAGTGACTTCTTCAGCAAAGCTGCTGCTGATCTGTGAGTTCACACTTGGTTATTTGCACCTGAGGTAGAAGGGCTTCAACTCCGTATCATGGATACTGCACTTAGGGTGTACAGTAAAACAAATGGCATGAAGATGAGCAGTGCCAATTTAAAATGACTGCCTGTTATCTTGGACTGGTATAAGGCTACGTCAAGTAAAAGCATATTCCTCTTCTCAAACTGTCAGCTATAAATATTCAGCCCATCTTAGCTATCCAAGCAGAGGCAATTGTTGTATTTCTTTTCTCCATTCTTTTTTCTTTACTGAGTCCGCACAGCTACAGCTCTGATTTGGGAGTGGTAAAAGGAGAACATTTCTCCCCTTTAGGTGGCCTATATATTCTGATATAATGGCAGCATGTTCTTTAGGGAATACACGTGGGCTTTAAATTAAATGATGCCCAGGCTGCTACAAGGAAAGAAGTGTTTTTCTAAATGGCAAGAGCAATCTTGTTACAACTGCAGTAGACCTGCAAAAGGGTATAAAAAGCAAAGGAGAAGTTATTATTAATCCTCTAATTCCAGTGTGGGTCTGTCAAGTAGCTGGTTTAAGCCATTTACAGAACTCATAAAGGACTTCAGATCAGTTGCTCTGATAAGGGATTCTAGTTTTCCAGCCTTTTGAAGAGCTTGGTTCCAGTAATCCTCTCTTTCTTCCCCCTTCCCTCCCTGAAGGTCATCATATTCCAGTTTCCTAGATGAAAGGATGTTACCAGAATCATTGCACAACTCCTATGTGAGAACAATTGGCAGGGTGGTGTCTGAGCCAGCCTTTTTTGCGTGTTCTTAAAAACGAAGCTGCATACTGCCAAGAAAGCCAGCAGCTGGAGGATTGCTGCAGTCCTGGCAGTCTTTCTAGGCCTACACTTGAGCAGGTGTGGACAGGGCTCTGAGCTTCTGAAGATGTTTGAGTTGGGAAGGGATTTTGAGGTTCTGTTTGATTGCTCAAGCACTGTTTTGGGTACAAGTGGGATTAGCAATGCTACCTAGTCACTGCTGTCTCCAGGCACTGCTTGATTTGTCTTTGTGGTCCCAGAAAACACATTAAAACTCTAATAGCAGTTAGCAGCCTGCTACACCAGTGCGTACCGGGGGGCTGAACCAGCAAATGTTACTAGCTGACTATTGTTGCATAATATTGCAAACCCTATTCAATTAACATGTGGCATCACTCTTCAAGTGCGGGATTTTACAGTGGGATGGGAGACTACATATGTTGAAGTACAGAGGAGATGCAGGGAGAAGAGGAAGTGGAGGACAAGGAACCTGCACCTCATTCCTGCTTGGTTCATGGTGCTTTGCTTCATCATGACTACAAATCTCTTCAGGTGGTAATGGTATATGGTGGATAGTGAGAAGACACCACTGAGCGTTTTCAAGTTCTTGTTAATGTTGTTGTAGCCATGGTGACAAGTTTCAAGAGAGGTAATAATTTCATTAAATTGACTGATGGCTCTGGAACAATGTAAAAGCTTACAGGCTTTTGAGACCCACAAACCTGAAGGCAGCAAGCATCTTCCAAATCTATCAGTTGCTGTACTAGGCGATTATGTCTCTGTAGAGGATGGAAAGACTTGCACATGAAACTTGTTTACATCTCAAAGCATTCTTCAATCTATAAGGACAAATCTAGAAACATGAACTCTTTTTATGGAAGACTGTGAAGTGGTTGCCAACTACAAATTAAAGTTACTCTTTAATCTTTAGCCTGGAAGGCTCACAACAACTTGGAAAGGGTGTGAATCTGTAGAGGGGAAAACTGTAGAAGTGCTGAAGTTCCTTCTGCTTGGAGCACTGTAAACTCCTTGCATTATGGGAGCATGGAGAGAATGTATGTATGGGAGAAGCTATATTCCTGGTTGTGGGAGAGGGGCTGATCACAGCAGTTATATCCAGCTATCCAGCTGTGTATGTTACCTTCCTACTCTCATAGTAGCGAAGTCTCATGTGTGTTTTGATGGGATTGTACATCACTGACTTGAAATGTTGTCAGAAGTTCTGCATTTATGTATAGGGGAGATGCAGATGCACCTTTCTCAGAAGGTATCATAGTAGTAGCTTTTTTAAAATTTTTTAGTTTTATTTTTTTTTGCATGTAGACTGCTCTGGACACTTGTGTTTTTATTGATTGTCTCAATTTTAAAAAAGGCAAGAAATGGTTTTTGGCTCACTATCTGTAGTATCTTGCAGTAGGCCTGTTTCTTTTTATTTTCTTGCATTTTTTGGTTTTTTAAACTTCACTTTGCAGTCTGGGGTATTTAAAATAACTGAATAATTGGTCTGAAAACGTAAGAGAAAGCTGGATCTCCACTGGAGCATCTGATGTGATGTGAGCCAATTAAAAAATAAGTTTCATAAGCACAAGATGCCTTTGTTTTCCTGAAATCTTACTGCTTTTTGGGAAAGAGGAATTAAGCTTCTGCAGAAACTCTGGGGGAGAAAAGATTAAGAAATAATGCTCTTAATGGAGGAGATGTCTTAAATGGCAATGACTGCTGTTAAAAATACCAGCTTCTACCCACTAATGATAGGCCAAGTTTTGCAAACTTAACAGGTTTCATCCTTTTTTTTCCTCATGCTTTGCCTTTGATGAGATTTTGCCTTTGATTGGATGGTTGTGGGTGGAATGTCTGATACTCTTGGCTACAAAAACTATAGGTTCTTAAAATTACATTTGTTCTGGCCTGGAGCAGAGCTATGTGGGTGTTGGATGTTTCTTTGAGAGCTGGCATTCCTTTTGGTTAGTCACCTTATGTTATCTACAACTTTAAAGGAAGACTATTAATATCTAGCACTCATCTTCACTTTGTGGCATAGATTTGCACTGCTGTAGATTTAATGCTTCAGTATATGAATCACCCATCTGGTGAAAACAGTGTTCGGATAATCAATTATCTAAAAATACACTCTGTGGACCAGAGAGAAGTAATTATAAATGTTACTTATTATAGTCTCATCAATGGGATAGTGCTTAATCTCTTAAGCACATTAGAGTATTAGTTGATCAGAAATGCATTATGATCTGCTTAGGTAAGATGATGCTGATCTTTTTCTGGGTGATACAGATACATAGTACATTGAGCTAGGCTAGAATTTAATTAACTGATAAATAGGTTGTCCTATGCATGTCTGACTAGCTGCAATATTTAAACTATACTAACTGTCTAATGTCCTGTGTACTAGTATTTTGACAAATGTCAGAACTGGCTGAATGCATGATGGATTGGCCACTGCTGCTTATTGCAAAGTGAGCTGGATTATCAGAAGTAATTGGTTTAATTTAAACCCAGCTCGTTTTAACTGAAAAAGGGTAGGGAGCAGCCACGTGATCAGTTCAGCAAGTAGACCTAAGGAGGAAACTTCCATTAATACAGATAAGCAGGACAAAACATGGCAAACAGCCCCAGCTGATTCGATAGGTTTCCATTCATTATTAAAAGTGTAAGAAATTCTTCTTCAAGGTGCAGTTACCAGTGAATTCTGAGCAAATTTCGAATCCTGTTTAAAAGCAGGTACCTCTTGATTAAAAACCTGATATGAAAAAAAATAGAGCACACTTGAACTTGATGGTTGTGCCTGTCTTAAGTCCATTCACCTACTGCCTTGTCATAAAATGAGTGATTGATCTTGATTACATGAGGGAAAAGAAACTGCAAATTCTACTTTGCAGTTAATTTAACCCTTGTGTAAGCACAAGCGGTACATCATAGTTTGTACTTCAGCTAGAGGTCTTGTGTCGCAGTTATGAGTGTGACTTAGGTCCTATTTTAATTTCTTTTCCAGGGAAAGCACGTGTGCAGCAGCTAGCAGAGAACACTAGATATTTCAGGAGACGACTGAAAGAGATGGGCTTTATCATCTATGGAAATGAAGATTCCCCTGTTGTGCCTCTGATGCTCTACATGCCAGCAAAAATTGGGTAGGTTTAACAGGATAACTTTTCACCTGTATTCTCTAAAGCTAGGATGGTACAAGAATATTAAGACATTTCTAAATGTAATAAAAGACTGGTTTGATTTTTTGCTTTTATGGTCATTACCGAGTCTTAGAAAACGTGGGAACTTCCTGTAAGTGATCTTAAGAAAACTGAGGCTTGTAGCTTTTATGGCAGCAAGAAAGCACTTCAGGGAAGCCATTTTACCACTACATGCCATGTTTTAAAAATTGGGTTTGGGGTTTTTGGGGTTGTTTTGTTTTTTCCATTTTATTTCTATGCAAAGTGCATATGTGTGCTGAAAAGAAGCTGAAATTGAATTAAAGTTAACATTAAAAGTCACTAGAAGAATGTTTTTACTGATTCCTGGATCAGAAGTAGACACATTTCCACAGGTGAGCTCTGAAAATTAAAAAAGGAAAAAGCAGGGGGGTGGGATATGGTGGGACACAACAACCTGTATTTGGTGAATCCCAAGTTTTTTAAAAATTCTGGATTTAATAGCTCAGATACTGTTATTGTAAATATTAATAGAACCGTAAGCTTTATAAATGCTTATGGACATGTGGGCTACTGTGTGGATAATTACAGCTAAACTTCTGCAAACAGGATATAATGTATACATTGAAAATTTTTGCAACATAAACAAAGTCTGATTTCAAGGACAGCTTGGCATTGGTAGCTGCTTTTCAGTGTCCTTGTGTAATGCAGTGCTCAACCAACACTTCTGAATTTGGAAAGCACGGCTTCATTTCAAGCCATACCAAATATCTGTAGTGTTCTAGCTCAGGCTTCAGTCTGGCTAAGTACTGTGGTTCTGTGAGGGAACAAATATCTTCTAGCATTCTGCATGAAGCTAGGTGCAATCTTCCTCCACCCTTTTCAGTATAACCAAATTTAAAAGGCCTTTAACCTTTATAGGTGCTGTAGAATCTGCAGTGTGCTCCATCCAGCACACAGAGGCATACTGTTTCTGTTACCCAGCTGCTCTACCAGTCAGTGCTATCTTTCCCCTGGAAATGTTCAAGGAGATGTTTATTAGCTTAGCAGTTGGGCCAGTGACTTAAAAATGAAAAAGAACATGGAGCTCTGATATAGATCCAAAGGGCCAGATCTCATGAGGTCTGCTTCATCCTTTCTTTGTCTCTTGTGGTCTGCTTTTAAAACAGTTTGAGAGTACTAAATGGATACAGAATGAAGTGTATCACTACACATCTATTTATGAGGAAAATAGTTGCAGCAGAAGTAAAAGGCAGAAATATTATAAACCTAGTAAAAGGATGTTATTTTTATACATCCTTATAAGCCTCAAGTTCATTGCTGCTGATTCTGAAGACAAGGTTAGTTCAAAAAGAATTAACCATTTCCTATGGCCTGTACACACCCACAATTGCACTGCCATTATAGAAAGGATCTAGATCTTCATGTCTCTCATCACATAAGTCAAAGCCACTGATTTCTTTAATCCCCATAAGAATTTGGTGTCAGATTAGGTTATCTCAATTTACTGTGGCCATTTAGTGGTTCCCTTGATAGGCACGTAAAAAGTGGTACATTCTGTGACATCATAATGTACTTTAATTGAATTAAATTGGTGAAAACAAACCATCTTGAAATTGCAGAACCTTTAGGGGATTGCAGCAAGGGGGATTCCTTGTATAGTCAAACTTCCAAGCCAAAATCCCTGTTTCCTATTGGAAAGATTTCCAAGCTTAGTTTACAAAATCCATTTAGAAACACATTGCTAAAAGGCCAGCCTCTGCCACATCTAATCTTTTAGCTCTGTTAGAACTTAATACAGTGAAACCTTTTGAGGAGAACCACCTTATGAATGAATTAAAAAATGGCTTTTGTCAGTAGGCATTCTGCCTCTAAAAGAAAGCACTGCAAGCTCCAAATCGTGGTCTTGCAGGCTTGCTTCAACAAAGGCCTATATGGTTAAACATACAGAGACCTTCATGCTGATGCTGCTTTGCCACCACTGGTATCATTCTGACGATCTTTCTTGTTCTCTCTGGCAGTGCATTTGGGCGTGAGATGCTGAAGCGGAACATCGGTGTTGTGGTTGTAGGCTTCCCTGCCACCCCCATCATCGAGTCCAGAGCCAGATTCTGTTTGTCTGCAGCTCATACCAAAGAGATGCTTGATAGAGTAAGTGTCTCATCTTGTCTTCCTTTTGCCCATACCTGCTATAAACAGATACAGCAGCCGTCTATTTTCTCTAGACTGGTTCAGTGTTTGGTACACAAACTATTAAATCTAATGTGCAAAGCCTTGTATAGTAGAGCTCAGAACCTAAGCTAGATTGAGTCATGACTTTGGACTTCAGGAGAGTAAACTATCATGTTCAGAGACCTGCTTGAAAGAATCCTGTAGGATATGGTCCTGAAGAGAGATGGTGTCCAGGACAGCTGGTTGATTCTCCCACTCCCAAAGAATGGTGCATTCTGACTTACAGGAGAGCAAATGTGGTGGGAAACCTCCACAGAAGAAAAACCAACAAATACATAAAATGGAAACATAAATTGGTGCAAGGTGGCCCAGGGGGAATAGAGACAGTTCTGAGCATGGGGACAGGAAAGCCAAATCCCACCTGTAGCTGAGTCTGTCAAAGGACAGGGCCTTCTATAGGGATATTAGTAGCAAGAGGAAGAGTAGAGAAAATGTGGGGCTGCTGCTGAATGGCATAGGGATTAGGTGACAAATGATATGCAAGAGGTCAGGGTACTCAGTGCCTCTGTTGCCTCAGTCTTTACTGATGAGACTTGCCTTCAGGAATCCTGGGCCCACGAGGTCAATGGGAAAACATGGAGCAATGTAAAGGAGAGTCAAATAAGGGAGCAAACTGAACATTGACAAGTCCATGGGACCTGATGGGATACACCCACAAGTGTGGTGTCACTGGCTGTCACTGCAAGTACGCTCTTGATTATCATCTTTGGAAGGTCATGGTGAATGGAGGTTGGAAGAAAGCAAATGTTACCACTTACTTCAAGAAGGGCAAGAAGCGTGATCTGAGGAACAGCAGTTTGAGAAGCCTCACCTTGGCCCTTGGGAAGATGGAGAAAAAAAACCTTTAAACTATTTTTAAACATTTTGTACATAAGAGGGTAGTTTGGAGTAGTCATCAATGAAGGGGAATCATGCCCAGTGTCCAGATATGATCAGGCAGTAACACTTCAATACATGAACAGCAAATGGGACATACAAACAGGCATTTTCTAATGTCAAAAAGAATAATAGATTTGAACTTTTCACATTTCACTGCCACAAAATGTTCAAATCAAGAGCTGAAAATTGCTTTCTTTCTTTCAGTTTTGTTAGGAAAAATAGGCAGTGGTGAGTGCAGTTTGGTAATACATATTTAGCATTGTTCTGTATCAGTTAAACAACTTGCCATATATCTGCAGTCCTGTACTTAGTTCTTTCTGCCTTCTAAGACCTGAGTTCCTTCCCAGCTACTTGTCCTTCCTGTCATCCCAGTTCAGTGTTTCTGTTCCAAATAAAAACTCTGAAACAGTATCTCTAGAGAAAGCTCCCTCCTTCTTTTCACTCAGTATAAAATGAACAGTGTCACCGACTTGGCTCAGAACATGGTAATAGAACTGACTGCATTGACACAAATGAGGGAGCAATAACTTCTGGCCAGGTGGATGTGGGGGGGATGAATGGGGAGAAGGTAGGAAAAGAAAGAAAACTGAAGCTTCTGAAATCATATTGCTGCAAACTGAGCTACAGCTGGAACTGTGCAAATTTGATGTGCTGGGACTACCTGAGTATTCATGCAGTCTTGCTGTTGGTTAGATTCTTGGTTTGCTCTCAAAGTTACCAGCTGGAGTCTTTACCATAACAAGCTGCTTCTGCAGAGTCTATATAAGTACTATACTTGCTCTTTTCCAAAACCAATCTGTAACTTTTATTACTCTGCTTAAAAAAGCTCTTTTCCTGTGAATTCTCTTAAAAGTCTTTCTGCTTTCCAGAAAATATTTCAGGTTTTGTGCTTCCAACATTAAAAACTCCTTTCTAGAGTACCTCTGTAGGTGCTAAATGCTCTAAATCGAGGAAATGCTTGTTTAATACATTAGGGCTTGTCTGCCTAAGAAGAGTAATCCAGGACAAAATGAGGTGTGAATTTTGAAGTGAATGAACAAATCCTGATTTAGCTCAGTATGTGAAGGCTTTGTTCCAAGTTAGTGTAATCCATTTCAAGGTTCAAAACAACTGCATGCTCTGAACCCAGAACATTGTCAAGAGGAGTTAATTAGGAGCAAGTCTTTGTATCAGTGATTTTTGTGTTGTTTTTTCTTGTGATGCAGTGGAAGTGGATTGATTTCAGGCAGCTAATCATTAAGGCAACCCTCGAATCTGATCCCTCTGCTGAACTGGGGCAACAATATCCAGGAGGAAAAGGAACTGAAATGAACAGACTTGGAGAGAGCTGGTAAAGAGCTTCTTCAAGTCAGTGACAGAGAGGAGAACTTGGTAGCCCATCTGTGCGTGCATGGATGTTAACTAGGGGTGTTACAGCTTTTTTTTTTTTTTTTTTTCTCCTGGGCTTGGAGCACAAGGAAGAGAAGCTTGTCTTGTAAATGCTGATATTTGTAATGCTTCCTTGTTCTTATTAAATAAACCCACATGATGGGAAGCAGTTCTTGGTTACAATTTTAACAGTTTTATGTAAATAAAACTTCCTTGCCTGAAAATATTTGGCTTAGGATCAGAGAGAAGTCCCTCATAACCTGCAACCCTGTGGGCTGGTGCTTTTTTTTCAGTGATGAAAAATGTATTACACTATCCTGAAGTCAGAGTTCACCAATGCCAATTCCTTTGTAGTCTTTGCTGGTCACATGGTCCTTTTTGTTTTAAATTAATAAAATCCTAAATCTGCATTCAAGAGTAACAGTTAACAGACTCTTTCAACAGAAATTCAACTTTAAATTGTTTCCATATGGGATCTTTACTTAAAGCTCTGGCAAACTGTGCCCACACTTTTGTTTTGTTTTTACTGAGGTCCAACTTCTGGGTTTGTCGTTCCCCCAGATTTTAGAGTGGAGAAGTTTTTGCTGCCAGATACAACAAGCATGAGGGGCCATTGTTTAAAGAAACAAAAACTTGAACTGTCCATCCAGGAAGGAAAAGTATGTAGGGATATTAACCTCCGTCTGCCAACTATTCTCAGGAGTCAGGCATTTGACTCAGAACATGTTAAAATGGGGGCGTTAACGTTGAAGTTTGTGGCATTCTGAAGAAATGCTGAATGTACCTGTCTGAATAAATTTATAATTCAAGGGAGTGCAGAATGTCAGGCTTTGAGTTCAGAAATCACATTGGAAGTCATCTTCTGAACTCATTTCTTTGTCACTTGCCTGTGTAAGATAAGTAGCATCACATACTGTTGCAAAGTTGTCTGCAGCAACTAATTTATTTTGTACCTTGTTCCAGGAGTGTTCTGTAGAGAAATGAATTGAAGTTTAGGGTTTGGCTTTTAATAAACCCTATTGCGAATGAGTGTCTTATCAAAGAGATTGCCACATAAAGAAAGAATGATTAACAGAGCCGGGACTTTCCTCATCTCTCAAGCTAGCAGATGTTTGATCTCTGGTAAACTTCATAACATTTGCATTCAGGTCAAAATGGTGAAAGGTTTTCTTAGCTCACTAGCTGTCTCCTGAGCCATCGGTTGACTGAGTGTTGCCTTTGTGGCAACCTCAGTCATTGGGACTTAGTTTTGAGGGAGAAAATGCTTGTGATCCTACCCAGAATAACTTTTTTCATTCCTTGGATTGGCTGGCAAAAATGTCCCATGCAGTGCTGCTTACAATACAGAGCTTGTATCTCTATTTCTACATGGACAATACAAATTAATCAAATGATACAACAAATGAAACAATAGAACTTGTTCATGCAGTATTGCGGTTTGTCTTTTGTTGTCTTGCAATTTATAAAAAATACAGTCGGTCAGAGATGTATACTACTAACACACATGTTTTCATACCGATTTATACATGAAGAGGAGTCAGACCTACAGGTACTTTTCTACTTCAGCTTTATTACTTCCAGGAAGGGAGGTGGTTGTTGTTTTTTCTTCCTGTGAATAGTCATGGTTTCTGGGGGGGAATGACTGCAAAATTTGAGTTAGTATTGCTGGATATTATGATCCTGCCTTGGAAGTGAAGTAGTTAGGTAGGTGCAGAGTCATTCTCAGTTAAGTCATCAGTGCTGTTCACTTGGTCTTGAGACTTCTGAATGCTAAAATCAAAACCAAATCCTAGGCACCTCTGAAGCTACAGACTTCTAGCACAGTAAAGTCTTGCTTATGTAAAATGGCTGTCGAGTAGTCTGCAGGCATGCAAAAAGGAAGATGTGCTGATAACTTGCATCTGTCTCCTCAGTTGATCTACTGTGGTCTTTTTCTCAGGCTTTAAAAGAAATCGATGAAGTTGGGGACCTTTTGCAACTGAAATATTCCCGTCACCGTTTGGTACCTATCTTGGACCGACCGTTTGACGAGACAACATATGAAGAAACAGAAGACTGACCTCCCTCCATGTGCCTTGGTGGGAGGGACACACCCTGTGGGACACTCCATGGCACACAGGCCACAGCATCCATGAATGACACACTTAGGACTGCTTAGCATAAAAGACATTTCCTCACAATACTGAAGTGGCCATGTGAGCTCTAAATGGCATTTTGTAAATAGGGAGAGGAGAAAAAAAAGCTTTGATTCCTGTGTCTTCAGGGTCTGGCCCTAGAGGTGCTTGGCTTTAATTTTTCTTGTTGCTTTTTTTATTTATTTGTCTCAATGAATTCACCGCAACCCAAGTTGGCTGTGGCTGATCAGCTCAGACTCTGTATGCACCATTAGCCTCCCAAATGCTGGCTGAGATGTTGTGAGCATGTGTGACGCTGGCATGGCAGCATTTCCAGTGTCACTGCTAGGTGCCTGACCTTCACGGTAAGGAGTAAGCTGACCTGTCTGTTCTTGGAGTCTTCCTAAAGAAACTGTTGATTGCTAACTTTGACATAGTTAACAAGATGGATAATCAACCAAAGTTGTTTTTTCTTTTGCAGTTACTTGTGTTTAAAACTTTAAATTTAGCCTTTTTAAAATAAATGTATTGTTGACATGTCACTGACAGGACCATTGTTCCCAAACATTATTTAGTTTTGCAAGCCACAGGCAGATGGACTTTTGGGACTCTAGCATTCTTTTCCTTCTCAGTATGGATGCCAGATTGTCTCCTGGTTTTGACACTAATTGTCCTCTTGATATAGGGTAAGTGATGGAAAGGGGATTTGGTTTTGTTTGGGGTTTTGTTGTTGTTTTTTTTTTTAATGAGCTGTGTTTTGTCTTCCAACATACTACTGTTTTAAAAAGAAATGAAAGGTAGTTCTAGTGTATGTTGGTTTCTCATCTTGAGATTAATTTCTCTTGCTTTAGAATTATCATAAAATCATGAACAAGCCACTGCTAAGTTCTAGGAGAGTGCTCTTGGAATTGAGTAAAGCATAGCAAGCCTTGTGCTTAAGACCAGCATCTGTCAAAAAGCAGACGTATTAAATGGATTACTGTTAGGAGAACCACTTACTTCATGCAGATCTGTGAAAGACTGATTGCTACCCTTCTGCTAATTCACCATTTCTTGTCATATATGAGGTGTTCTTCATTGATCTTGTTGCTGAAGGCTTTTATGCAAAGAATTTAGACGGCTTGGATCTTATCACGCATTACATTTTGGCTAGGCAACAAGTTGGCAGCTGCATGTCTGTGTAGGCCTTCCCTGAAGAGAGAATGTCCTCATGACTGCATGTAGTTTGGCATCTTTATTCTTTTGCATTTCTCTTGCTGATATCAAATTAATCTTCACGGAGCTGGTTGCTGTTTGGAATCTTTTATTTGCAAGTTCCACACTGTCTTACTGTAAGTTTAAAATAGACACCTTTGCTCTAGCACGCCTTAGAGGTGGCCTGCTACTTAGTCATTGCATCTTACATTCTTTCAGTGAACAGAATGGATCATTGAAGAGGTACCAAAAATTTAATAACAGCAGTCAGTTGCAGTATAGTTTGTTTCTGTATTTTATACTTTGGGCATGTGGGATTTCTGCAGAGATAGTAAAACTTTTAACATTGTTTAAATTGGGTTGGGCCAGCTCTTCAATTTGGTTTAGCATAATGCTTTAAGTTCTATGTTCACTCTGCAGGTAACAGGATTGGTCACTAGAACCAAGCAGTTCTGCAAATACATCGGTGATTTAAAGCAGAATTGGCTTCAACTTTATAGAGTATCTATCTTAATGTGTTTATAGATCTTGTTCCATTTTAACGTAATGGAACTTAAAAAATTCTGATTGTTTTTACCATTGCATTTCAGAAATCTTATTTGAGAAAAACTAAAATTGACTGTTTGAAAATGGATCCAGATAACTGCTTCTGTCTTAGTCCACTAATGTTGATTTACTCACCACCTGGAGCAAAGCATGTGCACAGTTCAAGAAGTCTGTGACCTGTATATGCAATTTTGATAGCTATGGAGCAGTCTCATTTGTTCAGCCACAGAGTGAGTAAACTGCAATTACACAAGCTTACTTTCTCACCTGCATTCTGCCCAGGACTAGCTCTAACATTCCAGCAGATGACCTGCTGCTTTCTGACTTAAAGAAGCTTTACCTCGAAGAATTATTGCTTCTTTTCTTCTTTTTGAATTCTAGTAGGGAACAAGAGGAGGTTAGTGCAGGAAGCCCTGACTCCAGCCCTGATCGTGTTGACTTGATCATGGAATTGTTTAAGATTGGACACAACAGACAAACTTAAGTACATAGGCATGGGTCAGTAGGGAGCTGGCTAGAGCATTCCCAGATGTACAGCATGCTTCTGTCTGCGTAGTCAAGTCAGTTTGAAAACTGTGATGTATTGAGTTACAAGTGCTACAAGTCTTAAGTCTTAATCTTGTCTCTGGGATTCAGTTCTAGTGCAGCTTGTCTTTAGAAGGGAGAAAAACATCTGTATAAATCTCAGTAATTTAGATAACTCCTGCATAACACTTCTGAAATTGTCAGTGTTTTAAAACTAGCAATCCTCACTGGGATTCCACTTGCACTTGTTGAGGCAATTGTGTTCATGCTAAACCTCTGCCATTCAATATCTTTCTGTTATGTCGTGCTGTCTGCATATGACTGAATTCTGCATTGCGAAGACATTTCAGGAATCATTCAGGCAGTTATTAGCATTTGCAAACTGCTTGGTTACATTTCAGCCCTGCCATATCTTTTTTTGGAAGCAACCCCACCCCTCAGGATGCCTTTTATTCAGGGGAACCTGTTTTGCCAAAGTCTGGTACCTGTTGAAACTGCTTCTGAAAAAGAAAGATGTCCAAGATTTTGCACTTTTAAGCCAGTAATTCACTGAGTGTGAAAGCCAGGAAAATTTTTTCACATCTACTAAAAAACTGCTCCTACAATGGAAGGAGCAGACCACTACTGGTTTGTACTAGGCAAACCTACAGCATATATGCTGTCACAGTATGTGTAGGATGGATTGCTGCTTTGATGTTTATGTACTGACCAGAAATCTGTCTCCTTTTTGTCCTGGCAGTAGAAGTGAATGAAAGAACCAATCTTGAGAGATGACAAAGGAAGAAAAGCTGCTTAAGAAATAGACTGCAGTCCCTGCCAACTGTTCTGAGACATTCTAATTGAAAGTGACTCCTGGTATTTCTTAAGGGATGCAAAATTCAAAAGAAAATGAAGGCTGCTTTTGAACAAAGGATTTTGCCCTTTACTATATGTTGGCTAAACTTATAAATATACAATAGTCGCCTTCCCAGTATCTCTCTGAAGAACTTAGCAAGCAGGATTTTGCTTCTGCTGAGCGAAGAGTTTAGAACCATTATAGTTTTCAAGGCTGATGGCCGTATTCTTTTTCTCTTAAGAAAACTGCGAAGCTCCTATTACCAAGCATCAGCAGAGAGTGAGAGATCTGCTTCTTGTTAGAAACTGGCCTTCCCATGTAGACCTTTGTCTTAAGGAGCCTGATTCATAATTTTTCTTTAGTTTTTGGCAGAGAGTAAACCAAGGGAGTTTTGTGTTAAGATTTTCATGGGTCTTATTATTACACAAGACACAAACTTTTGTACAGTATGTGTATATGGTATAACTCAACTCTTTCTTTAGTTACTATGTTTTTTCCCTTTTAAATAGCATCCGTAAAGAGCTGTTCTAGATCTCTAGTTACTGGTGTAGCACACTTCTGCCTTAGGCAAAGACTCGGGAGTGAATTGACCGAACTTCTTACCGTAATGAAGTCATTCAGTGAAGGAATAGCATCATGCATCATCATCTTGTTGTTTCCTCTAAGAGTGCAGAAGTGGTACTCACTGTCAGAGCAGGAACCCACCTTCACACAAGCAGGAAAGGGAAGTGTGCCTGTGAAATCAGTGACCTAGTCCTGTGCTGTGTGGATGATGGCCCAATACAGCAGAGATGGATGGAGAACAGGGGCAGTCAGGCATTGCTTATTCTCAGCTGTACAGGGATCTTTTATGTGTACTTGAACAAGCATCCCTAAGACAGGAATGCAACTTTCAGTGCCCAAAGGGACACTCCTCTAAAGCTTTGCCATACAAAGTAAAGACTTTTTCTCCTTCTGTACAAATTTTAATATCTTTACTTCTGATAAGTATTTGGCTGACAGCTGTTTGCTTGTCCAGAAGCCATGTTAGCCATGTTATTGGGCAGATCATAGGAAAGGTTGGAGGAAAACCATGAGCATGAGCTTTCCACTTCACCTAGGAGAACACCTTGCAGCATTAGGTCTGAAGTGCTACGTTCCAGTGAGCTCCGTTGCTGCATCACAGGGAAGGAAACTTGTGGAGGTTTATCCCAATATACAATGCTCAGTCAGAATGTGCACAGTTTATATGTACAGTTCATGTATGTTATTTTTACAGTTTATCCTCTGTCTGTGAAAGTGTCAAGCATGCTGGGATCTATGTGGGTGGCACCTTCTGCACAGAGATCTGAGGTACCTGTGGTCTGTTCTGTTCTAACATGAGTGAAGGACTGAGCTGTCTGGGAATAATGCCTAGTATGACCCCTCGGAAGGCTCTGGTGCGGGACCACTGTTCTGGAAAAGCACCAGTCATTTGACCTGTGTAACTTGAACATGGTTTTGAAAGAAAGAAAGGAAAAAACCCACACACGACTCCTCAGATGCCATAGTAATAGCTTGTATTCCTGTAGCATCCCCAGCCTTGCGGTTGTTCACCTGTTCAAGGATTTGGATGTGAAGCTAGAGCACAACCATGAAGTGCTTGTGTGAAGTATTGTGCTGTATTTTTCACTAGAAAGTGTTTGGTGCAGACATTGGAGCTGTTGAGTTTGAATCCCCAGAAGGGGTTGGGTGAAGGAGATGACTGTGGTATGCATTGAAGGCCTTAAACTGTGACTCTTGGTATGAAGAATTAAAACTGACCTTGAAGAATGCAGTGGATTTTAACCCATGGAAGAATACTCTGTGCTTTTAGTTAAGCAATACGTACTGCTGTTTTCTTGGAGGCAGAGGTTTGATTCAATTTGTGTTTGATCCTGGCTAGCAGCTGTTTTAAGGTGCAGAAGAGGTGCCTGTATGTGAAGGCCAAAAGCCGTGCAGCTTTCAGCAGCACTGTTGCTATGTTAGCGAGCATCGGTAATTTGTTCCTGGGCTGCTGAGCATGGGAGGATTATGGAGAGGGTCAGGAACTTCAGAAGCAGTGGCAGCTAGCAGATTAATTTCCTCAACAGTAGTGAACAGGTCTCTTGACTTGAATATGCCACGGGTTGGTGTCGTTCCGAAAAATACCCATGGTGAAGTGAAACACGCACCACACCATCTATCTGACTGCTGTAAAGCTTTTCTCCATTTTTTTTTTGCCAAATCTCATTCTGTTCAGACAGTATTTTTGCTACCCCCTAACGGTGAATTAAGCTAAATGCATCTCCAGCCCTCCGATACTACTCGTTTCAGACCAGTTTGAGAGATGACAGGAACGTTGGAGCCTGAGGCTTTAGGCTAGCAGCCCCAAAGCCAATGGTGGCCCACATTTCCACAAGCCCTGGGCAGAATTACCAAGTCACAGCACTTCGTCTTAAATTG